AACCTTCTGAAGGCACCTGCTGCTTTCTCATAACTGGCTTGGAGCCCCTTCTTTCAGAGCACTTTTTTTCTCAGTAGCTGCCACTAAGTAAAAGCCTGGGTCCTGAGGCAGGCAAGGCTCACCTACAGATTTTTCGACTTGCCAGCAATGATAAAGCAAGATAAAAGACACCTGGAGAGATCCAGGCGAAGGACCGTGCTTCTTTTCAGCAGCTCATTCAGTCAGATAAACTCCTGACAGACAAGGTCTTCTTAATCAGACTACAGTGGTCTTTGATTACAGCACACAATAACCACGGAAAGGAACTGCTCAGCCCACTGCACCCAAAGGGATCTGTTACTGTATCTGGTCAGAGAAAACAGATTTATCATCAGTCAGACAGGGCTGAACTGCAAGGTGAAGAAAACCTCAGACATCAGCAACCATGTGCAATTCAAAAGGATACCTACTATGGGAAGGCTTCAAGGTGAGGGCTGAGGTTTTACACAAAGTTATAAATAGAAAAGATTAATGTACTGGGCTTTGGGGACCTTTCAATATATGTATTTACAGAAGCGTGACATAACCAGGGTGACCCATTTCACTGTGCTTTAAAGCAGGGACTTCTTCAGGATTAAGTCTTTCAACCAGCAAGTAATGTCTGAAAGGCTTGTCACGGAGTCCAAGAATTTCAGTATTTATTTTCATCCAGATTTGAAAGAGTGAGTGCTTCTTTTATTGGTTTTGAATCAGTAACTTAGGGTTTGGTTTGTAAAATGAAGGCAACTGGGTACAAAACTCAAGCAAAGCTGGAAAATGGACATGAATTTTACCAGGCTGAGGGCTGCTTCAGGGGATGACTCACAGCCCTGCTGGGTGACTTCTGGCTGGCAGAGATGTGCCCACTCGTGCGGAATAAGAAATTAACCCCTGCTGAAATGATGTAAAACCTGTTTTCTAGGTTTTACAGTCTCCCTCTGAATTATCTCCTGCAAAGCCTTCCTTTTCACAGGATTTTCGTAATGCTTGGGTTTTTGTTTCCATTATTTTTCCTCTCTGCAGAACAGGGCTCTGTTTCCACTCCAAGAACACAGAACAGTCCTTTCCAAGGAGCTAGTCTGTGAAAATCATTGGTAACAACTCCTGCTGTTGCACTGAGCTCTGTGCATCCCCTACAGGTTTTGCTTTACCAGCTGTAAGAGAGTAAGAGACCATTCAGGTTTTCATGTTTCTGTTAGTGCTTCCATGTACACTGATCCCAACACATGTAAACACTTTTATTATTTACCACTTTATTCCACATTTTTATCCTTTACCATCTCTTGTACTTTTCCTTTCATTCACTGTTTTTTCCTCCTTCGTGCCAAAGCAGCTTGAAAGACTCTGGAAACTTCAAAACAACCACCACCACCACCACCCTACCCTACCTACACCCTTCTTCATGGCTTCTTTCACACCTAAGTGCCCAGGAAACCAATGCAGGCAGCACAGCACTGGAGGTGATACATGGCATATTCACAGGTTGCTCAGGACTGAACTATATAACATTCTCAGTAAGCACCCACTCTCCGTTGATTTTGAAAGGTGGAAAGGTATTTTGGAGGACTATGCTCTAGTTAAATAGAGACCACTTTTCTCCCTTCCTCCATCTGGATTCTATATAAAGGTGTCTAAACAAAGGCTGTGTTTGGAAACTTGTTGCACCCACCTCACTGCACCAGCATCTGTCTATGCAAAGTCTGCTCATGTTCCTCTGAAAATCAAGCTGCTTTCTGCCTCTTGTTCATTTCCCTTTTGTTAAATAAATTCTTCTATGTAAGCATGACTGATCATCATCATGGTCCAGCTAGTACGAGGAGGGAAACTGATGAAATTAATTTTACTATGAAGAGGCCAAAGCACAGAATTCTGCCTTTTTCAAAGTGCTCCTTACTCTGGCAGTGCCTTTGCTGCCCTGTTGAACAGGTTGTTCACAGTCATGACGGCATCTTCCTCACACATGGGGTCAGATATGGACCATAAGTCGTTTCAGGTCCTTTTTGTGTAAACCTGAAAATCAGGCTCTTCAGGCCACCTCAGTGAGCAAACAAATGAAATTTTGCCAAAAGCTGTCATCTGCAGCTCCCCCATCCTGGGGCCCAGTACAAACAGTTTTTGAAGGTATCTGAGCAGTCCTAAAATGCAAAATAATGAGGTTTTAGAAATTAGTACACAAATATGTCATCTCCCAAAAGAAAAAAACAAAGAGAAAAGGAAAAAATAAAGAAAATAAGGAGGGGGGAAAGAAGGAGGGGAAAAAGGAAGAACAGAAGAAATTAAACTGGCTGTGTAGTGAAGTCTGTTGGCTGGGAGCTCATGAAACTGCAACACAGAGAGTGAGACACCACTGAGAGTTCCTGTGATTATTTCACTTTCCTGTGGCAGGTGGCAGAAGCCACCGGGGAGGGGAATCCACTTCTCTGAGCAAGCAAGAATGTTCATCACCTCCAGGCACACACACACACAGAAGGGTGGGACCTCTCAGTGCATCTTCACTCCAATGCCTGTTATCCCAGAAATTCGGAGGGGAATTCAAAGGATCTGCAAGCCAACAGCAGAGGAGGAGGAGATGTTGCAAGAGGGCCAAATTTACGTGGCCGTGCAGGTGACCCACTGGAGCAGCTCTTTGAGGATATACAGCAGTATTTTAAGGTCAGGAGCCAGTACTGGGGGAAAGGATAGCAACCAACTGATCTAAGTGTTACACTGGGTAATTGGGTTTGTTATATTAAGGCAACTAAGGAGAAGATGACATATCCCATCCCCTGCTCATGCATGCTTGTCACAATGCCATGAGGCTGGCTCAGTTCCCAGCTCTGTGAGCCAGAGATAAGAACTTAGGGAAGGTGTACAATTATTTATCTGATGATTATGTCCTTCCCTGGGGTGGCCTCTCCTTCAGTTTTTGTCTTTTGTACCAATGGCTTGAAAAAAATCCAACAACTCACCCATATATGTTTTGTAAAACAAATTCCAAAGGAATAAAGGAAAGAGAAATTACCTGTTGGGGATTTCCACTGAGAGGCTGTGGTTAGGCTGAAGCTCCATGACACAATGGAGAGTAGAAAGTATCAACATTAAACAAAGATTAACCTTCCAGCACACTATCTACCCATTTAGTAATGAGCAGAGCTTCTGACCCCACACAATGAGAAGTGATTACTCCTCTGGTGTCTGTAGGAGGGAGACAGGCAAATATGATTCCCATAAGGAGTCCTTGGAGTTCTTTTCTTCTTTTTCCTTTTCCCTACCAGGGTTTATATTTTAAGACTTTCTGAGAACATAGTTTAATGGCCTTAATTGAGTGCAGCTTTCTCCACAGTCCTGTTCATATGTATGCTTCATAAACTATAAATATGTAAAGATTGCCATCCCTCAAAAATGTCTAAATTTTATTATTTTAAAAGGATCCCTTTTCCCCGTCAAAAAAAATTGTCTTCAATGGCTAATCTACACATAGAAGTAAGGATTTGTGACAATTCAGAGCTAAACAATCAGAGAAACAATATAGAAAGGGATTGTGGAGCGGCCTCTTACCCTTTTCTACCAGAGATTATTGAAATCTGGAAACATTAATTAAGGCCAAAGCAAAGAGAAATTAAGATAGATTTTAATTGTGCTGGGTATTGGCTGAACCATATTTTAAACATGTAGTTTAAAGTTGTTCCATTTCCTCTGTTTCAGTAAATATAAGATCTGTATAGTCCATAATTACATAGACGAGTTTTGATGACTGCTTTCCTCCTTTGCAAAAACGTTTTTCTCAGTTTTGTTCTTCAAGAGGCCCTCCCATCAGCTGATTTTCCATGCCAATGGACATAAATCAGACTAACCAAACAACCTCAGAGACAGAGCAGGCTTGGCCTAGGTTTATTTTTGTAAACATGTCTCATCATTCCTGGATTTCTGAAAGTTTACTACAGTTATCCAGCTCACAGATCTTGCAAATGATGCAAATTAGAAATGAGTAATACCATCAGAGCTAGAGAAAAAACAATTAGATCAGAGCTAGGGTAATCAGGCTGCAGGTCACTAACTCCTGTGCAGAATTTAGCCATGCTGCCAAACAGTAGTGTCCAAGTCAAAAGTGCAAATGGGTTTGGAAGAAAACTTCTTCTTGTAGGATTCCATATCATCATATTTTTTTAATAGGTAGCTGTTAAATGTATTGTCTGAATGAAGGAGGCCTTATTTTTCTAGATTGACAGAAACTAGTAAATTAAAAGAAGTGAAAAATTACTGCATGCCCATTTTGTTTTCAGTGGTTCAAGCATCTTTTTTCTCAGATGTCTCATAGCCACCATTATAGGCACGTGTTTGAGCTGCCCCTGCCTGGCAATGCTTAATGTGCTGTGCTGATTCTCTCTAAAGCCCACAGCATGTCCTTAAATACTTTGCAGCTATAGGGAAAGGTACTGACCCAGCTATCCCAGAGATCACAGTGACTTTGACCCTCCATTCCAGCAACATTATTGTCAAATACTCCTCAATCACATTTCACAGAGTCACAGAATGGGTCAGGTTGGAAAGGACCACATGGGCCTGTGAGGTCCAGCTTCTCTGCAGGGCCATTCTAGAGCAAAGATTGCATCCAGAGGGTTTTTAAATATCTCCAGTGAGGGAGACTCCACAACCACTCTGGGCATCTGTTCCAATGTGCATAACCCCCACAGTGGTTCTTCCTCATGTTCAGGTGGAACTTCTGTGCATCAGTTTCTGCCCATTGCTTCATGTCCCAGTGCTGGGCACCGCTGAGCAGAGCCTGGTCCATCCTCTGACCCCACCCTGCAGGCACTGACAGACATTGATGAGGTCCCCTCTCAGTCACCTCTGCTCCAGACTGAACATGTCCAGATCACTCAGGCTTTCCTCATAAGAGAGATGCTCCAGTCCTTTAATTACTTTTGCCATCCTCCACTGGACCTGCTCCAGGAGCCCCACGGGGTTTTTTTTACTGAGGAGCCCAGAACTGGGCACAGCACTCCAGATGAGGCCTCACCTGGGCTGAGCAGAGGGGCAGGATCACCTCCCTAACCTGCTCCAATTCTCTTTCTAATGCACCCCAGGACACCTTTGGCCCTCCAGGCCACCAGGGCACTGCTGGCTCATGGACAGCTTGTCCACCAGGACCCCCAGGTCCTTGTCCTTCTGCTTTCCAGCAGGTTGGGCCCAGCCTGCAGCAGGGGTTGTTGCTCCCCAGGGGCAGGACGCTGCACTTGCCTTTGTTGAACTTGAGGGAATTCTTCTCTGCCCATCTCTCCAGCCTGTTGAGGTATCTGTGAGAGGCTGCAGAGGCCTCTGGGGTATCGGCCCCTCCTCCCAGCTTTGTGTCATCAGTGAATCCTGAGGAAACCTCTTGCTGGGGAGTAAGGTAAACAATACTGGGCCCAGTACTGAACCTTGCATGACACCACCAGCCTCAGGCCTCCAGCTACACCCTGTGCCACTTATTATGACACTTTGGGATCTGCCACTCAGCTAGTGCTCAATCCATGTCACTGCCCACTCATCCAGGCCACACTGCCTGAGTTTTCCCACAAGGCCGTTGTGAGACACAAAGTGGGAAAGCCTTGCCACTGGGTGTGACCATACTCTGGTTGTTGGTGGGGATGGAAGAGCAGCCAAATGCATCCAGCTGGAATGACCTTAACTATTAAGAGAAGGGCACGAGAAGGTCTCTCTCTTCATGGCTGAGTGCACAGCACTTCAGCAGCAGGCTGCCTTGAGCACTGCCTCCAAAAAACTCTGCTTTTAAGGCGTGTATCACGCCTTAGCACCAAACCCCTGGGACTCTGGAGGAGAGCAAAGTAGACAAAAATAAAATAGCAGGTAAAAAATACCTTTTTTTGGTACCATAACTGCAATGCCTAGAGGTTCTGCTTTTATGAAACCTGCCCTTTTTCTTGCTCTGATGACAGCACACCATGTTCTACTCCTGGGAGAAATCTGTAACCACCAAGGTCTTGGTAACACGGACAGGCTGCCAATGGCACCATTTCTCAGTTTGCATTTTTCCATGCACTAGGTTTACAACTTGTTGAATTTACAGGGTCCTATACTGTTGGAAGGATATAAAAAACAGTAGCAAAATGAAATCATAGGCTGGTTTGAGTTAGAAGGGACTTTAAAGACAGTTTTATTTCAAACTCCCTGCCATTGGCAGGGACACTTTTATCAGGTTGCCCAGAAACCCATCCAACGTGGCCTTGAACACTGTCAGGGATGGGGCACCCACAGCTTCTCTGAGCAACCTGTGCCAGGGCCTCACCACCCTCAGAGAGAGAGTTTCTTCCTAATGTCTGCTCTAAGCTATTTTATTTCAGTTTAAAAGCATTATCCCTTTTCTTATCACTATATGCCCTTGTATAAAGTCCCTGTCCAGCTCTCTTGCAGCCCCTTTAGGTAGTGGAAGGTTTTAGAACATCTCCCCAGAGACCTCTTTTCTCCAGGCTGAAGAACCCCCACTCTCTCCTCTCAACCTGTTTTGACAGGGTTATCTTCCTGACCTCCTCTGGACTCGTTCCAACAGGTCCATGTCTCTATTATGGTGGAGGTCCCAAAACTGGATGCTGTATTCCAGGAGGGGTCACATTAGAATGAATATAGGAAATCACAGTTGAGGATGTTTGCAATCTGTCTTTAGTAATGAACCCTGCACTAACAAAAGAGAAGTAATACTGTTGCTCTGGTTTTAGGTGGGAACCTGTGCCTCAGAGGTTTTCAGCTTGGAGGTTGCTTTGCCTGTGCATCTGTGAAAAAATGGGATCTTCCTCTAAACTTTTGTAAGTATCAGGTGAGATGTACCATTTTGGTGCTTGCTCCAACTACATGAATACCTCGCATTTCCAACCATTATGTTATAAATGATCTGTATATTAGTAGTGCAATTTGTCACACATTAATAAACATAATAAACACAATAAACATAATAATAATAATAAACTCAGTAATAATAATATTAGCAAATACAATAACAATAACAATGTTGTCAACTCAGTGTCATGAACCAATAATCCTCACCTCAAATACCTTACAACCAAGGACAGTTAGACCAAAAATAACAACAAAAAAATATTGAAGATCAGTATGGTTACTGTTTACCAGATGTGCTTAAATTCAATTTTTTTTCTTTAATTTCTGTATGTAATTGGTTGTTAGGACCTCATTCAGAAGGAAGAGATAAACTGCTGTCCAAAACCCAGAACTGCTGTTAAAAATGCATTAAAATTCAAAAAATAGCTAAAAAAGAAAAGGAAAAACTGAAGGAATGAAAAACTGGGGACAGGAAGAAAATCGGAAACAGGCACTGTGAAGAATACCATAGGTAGATGAAATGATTATCAGAAATGCCAATATTAGATCCAGTGCATTGCTTTTTGTACATTCTTCATCATTTGGGTGATAAATTCACAAAGAGGGATTCTAGAAATTCTCTAAGCTACCCAGAACTGCAATGGGTCATTGACTGATGGCTCCTGTGAGACTGTTTTCACATGTACAATACAAAGACATTTTTAACTGAGACTTTTAAAAGACTGACAAGATATTTTACTTGTTGTTTTGATGGATGATGTCATTTTCCAATTTTTGACAATCGCTGAGATACCACAAAAAGATGTGGTTTTCATACTGATTCAGCCTGAGCCAAAACTGAAAGTTCATGTTATTTAATTTGACTGAGCATCCAAACTTCTGTGGCTATTTATCATCTGAGCCTTCTGGGTTTTTAGACTTGACACTATCACTGCCAATTTTATTGGCCATATCTGCAGTTCTGTGAGCCTGTGAACTCCTGGGATGGAGACCCAGACACCACCATTGCTAGACAGATATACTGAGATTTCTGTCTCATGTGGCCTCTGCTGGGCAGCAGGAACATGCAGCTCAGGGTGCAATGATTACACTGATAGTCCTGAGGCCAACTGGTCCCACACCCTGTGACTTCAGATTGGGTTCTCCAGCTCTCACCCCTTCCCCTTCCTTCCTGTCTCCTCCTCAGCACAGAATTCCCCTCACCTGTCCCTTTCCACCACCACGCTCTGCCACGACCACAGGTACAGCCTGGTCACAGCAGCCTCTCCCCTGCTGGACACCTGAAAGCACGTGACACTTAAATTGCCCTATGTCAAAACCAAAACAGCACACAGAACAAAGAAACAAAGAAAGAAACAAAAAAAACTTAAAACAACCAAACAACCTGACTTCCTGTGCCTTTGCAGACTGAGAGCTCCTTTCAGATTCACAGCCTGTGTGCACTTTTCCCCGGTTGCACACCACAGCCCACCACAAGATGATGAAATAGGCAGGAAGGATGGCATCAAGACCACAAAGCATGATGCAACCCAAGATGCTGTCACCTGAAGTCAGCTCCTACACCTGTGCCTGTGGGAAACAACCCCCACACTTGGTCAGACTGTCCACGTTCTGGGCATCCACACTCCTCTGCTCCTCTCCTGCACACGTGGAACAGGTGGGAATGATGACAGTCCTGCTGAGGGGCACAGGGCACACACACAGCATCCACACCCATGAGGGAGGCATGGAGCAGCTGACATAGGTCTTTCCCACGGCACATAGGGTCCAGAGAATAGAAACAGGTTTTAAAGTACAAAAAAATCCTTTGTTGTTAAGTGCAACCCTCTTTTTTTCTGTTTCCTCTATTTACTTCTCCTTTATACTCTTTGGAGTCAGCCGGTGCATCTGCAGAGAGGTCTCTGGTGAGGAAGAACACAGTGTCCTTAGCCTTGAAGGGAGACTTGTTATTTCTCACTTTCTTGTTTGCATTCTTAAGGTCACTCTCCAGAGCTTTCCCTCTCACACCAGTAACCAACACCCCTCAGCAGCACAACCACAGCCAAAAGTGTGTGTGCTGTGGGGAGACACACCTGCCCCAGCACAAGGCTATGGATACATGGCAGAAGTTTGTCCCTGTGTTCAGAGCCAGCATGGATATCAAACATCAGCTCTGCGCTGGTTTTGCATTCCCTGATGTCACTTGGAAAAAAATGAAGCAGGATCTCAAATGTGGGGTTCACTCAGCAAAGGGTGACCTGCAGCTGGTGGTGCTACGTGGACCTGCTCCCCATAGCAGAGCCCTCCTGAAGCCAAGATGTGGATGGACCTGATGGCTAGGTCAGCATGGTAACAGGAACTCAGAGTGGAGAGCACTCCTCTCTGCATCTGACCACCCTGTCCAGCCACTTCCAGAATCTCCCCCTCTTCTCTGGGGGCTGTTCTCACTCACAGAAGAAGCACTGTGAGCCCAAAGGGACTCCTTTTGGACAGGAAGGGACTCCTTTTGGACAGGAAGGGACAAGCTTCCTTCCATTTCTCTGCAAGGTCACTGCCACCAACACATTTTTTTCTTGCAGCCCTTCGTGCCTAAGGCTCCTGGGGCTTGTCTGTGGAGCAGCTGTGGGGGACTTCCCATCTCCTGAGAGCCTTTTGTCTCCTGTTCAGAAAAGGCAGAAAAAGTCAGCCCCTTCTTCTCCTCTGTGTGTGTCTGCAAATGAAAAATAAAAAAGGAAATGAGCTCATTTCAGTGCTATCAGTCAAGTTTTAAAGTGAAACTACCTCACAACATTGGATGTTGTCAGCACTCTCAAAACTAAATCTGTTGTCAGACTAGTGATGAGTCAAGGGTCCCTCTGTCTTCACAGTTGGTTGCCACCCTGACAGCTTTCACCAAGACACAGTTTCAGTCTGTGCCACTTCTCTGCCAGCACAGCTCACAAAGGGACCTCTCGTGCAGAGGTTTCACACTGCCACAATGCAGCATGCAGATCCTGGAGTGGAAATGGTTCAGCCTCCCCCAGAAATATTCTGGTGGCTGGAGGCTACGAGAAACCACCACAAGGCTCTAAAAATGGACATGTAATGGCTGCGTGTGTGCTTGTGTGTGTGTGCATGTTTGGGGAAGGGAAAGAACCTGCTCCTATAGCTCTGCCACCTCCTGAGGTCTGGACTGCTCTGTTGATCTGTTCACAGTAAAGTCTCTTACTTTCGTGCCTTTTCGTTTTCCTGGATATTTTGAAGAGAAACCTAAATCACCTTTTATTTTTTTTTTCTTTTTCTTTACTATAGCGAAGACGTGGCCCCAGGATGCACCAAACACACCCAATGGCTTATTCACATAAATCACTGGCAATTCAAAAGGTAGAGGAGATCCTACACTTATTACATTGAACATACCACCTACCTTTTCCAAATGTATAGTTCTAATCTTTAGAGTGAATGAAATACCAAAACACACTTAAAAGCTCTAAAAATTTCAAGGGAGAATGTTTCACACAAGATATTCTATTCCACCTTGGTTCAGTCCCTGCATTCCCTTATTAAATCTTTTTCTCTTTTGCTCTAAGTTCAGAGAATCACAGAATCATAGAAAGGTTTGGGTTGGAAGGGACCTTAAAGATTGTGTTCCAACCCCTCTGCCAAGGACAGGAATACCTCCTACTAGACCAGTTTGCTCAGAACCCCATTCAACCTGGTCGTGAACACTTCCAGGGATGGGGCATCCACAGCTTCCCTGGGCAGCCTGTTCCAGTGCATCAGCACCCTCACAGAAAAGAATTTCTTCCTGATATCTCATCTAAACCCACACTCTTTCAGTTTGAAGCCACTCCCCCTTGTCCTGTCGCTACATGCCCTTGTAAAAAGTCCCTCTCCGTTGTTCTTGTCAGCTCCCTTCAGCTACTGGGAGGTCAGAGTTAGGTCACTCCTAAGCCTTCTCTGCTCCAGGCTGAACAATCCCATCTCTCTCAGGCCTTCCTCATAGAAGTGCTCCATTTAATACTTTTCCCACTTCATCTCTGTTTCGTGGGATTTAGGGGCACTAAAGAATTCTTTACCCAAACAGAGATTGTTCAAAACCCATCTCAAAGAAATCATTGTTCACAATAGTCTGAAAATGCTCTGCCCATGCAAAATAGCACCTGTCCCATCTGGAGAGCGCTGGAAAGGTATGGAGGAGACACAGCAGCACTGAGGCTCTATGCTACACTGGGAACCCCAGATCACCATGTGATGATTTTCTGGTGTCCAGAAAAGCTTGCTTGGATTCTCTAATTCTCCTGTTCTAGACTTCACTGATTCACAGCAAGTCACCAGTGATGAGCCCTGTGGGGGTTACCAGGTTGCTGCCTCAGCTGCAAGGCAGTGGCATGCCAGAAAAGCAGCAACTGTCTCACAAATGGGATTTCCCTTTTTTTTTTTTTTTAACCCCACGCCTGCTGCATTGACTATACACAAAAATGATGACAAAACGTGGGGGAGGCACAGGAAACAAAGGAACCAGAAAAACAAGGGAGCCAGAAGCAGAAAAAGATCTGGCAGAGCAGCAAGCAATGAAGAATTTCAGAAATGGAGCACATTCACATTCTCAGCAAAGATAGCAGGACAGAAAACAGCCGCAGTCACCATCCAAGAGAGGACCTCTGCAGAAACCCAGCAGTAATGGTGCAGCTGTGCTAACACTATGCCTGGCGTTTGCACAGACACCTACACACATGGAGGAGAGCTCTTCAGCAAATACCAGCCTCATAAACAGCAATCAACACCAATATTTGCTTTACCAACTTCTGCCTCTGGATAGCAGTTGCAAAGACTGGCTTTTATGAGGGTGTTGTCAACTTCACAGGTGCTAAAAAACACTTAACAAAGTGCCTAGTGAATCTTTCCATCTCTTACAACCTTTTTAGAAAGCTTGAAATCTTTTTGGTGACTACCAAGAGGATGAATTGGGAATGACCTTACAAAGAGCCACCTGCAGGGGCTCTGCTTTCGCTGAAAACTCAGCTCACCAGATAATCTGACCCACCTAATTTAAAACTGATCTTAGACTAAGACCAAGAAAATTATGTCAACATAGGTTACTTCTAAATACTCCTTGATTAAAGAGCATGCAGTCAATATAAACTCTCTTACACTCCAGCTGCATCAAGAAGTGTCACCACTATTCAACCCCATCCTCAACCAAATGCTTCCTGCTCTCAGTAGGAAAACTGGCTGGCCCATTCTGGCTTGGATGGGCACCAGACCAGACACACATGAGTCATCTTTCAGTAGCATTTTTCAAGTAATGAATTAGTGCTGCCTGCTTTACACAGAGGTGGTCACAGAGGAAAAGGTGTGTGCTCATCCCTCTGCCGGTGACAGAGCAGTGTAATATATGAGCAACCATGCAGTTCATCTTTTACAAAGAAAATTATGCATTTAAGCTTTCAAGGGAAGCAGGCAAGAGAGAAAAGCACAGGAGGGAGAGCCTAAGAATTAACTGTGAGGCATTAGGTAACATTTAAACAGCACATGAGATCTGTGTGAGTGGGGTTATATTCCAGCAGTGGACCTGGAGTTCTCTTTCGTTTCCTTTCCTGGGTGGTGTGGGATCACATTGTCAAATCAAAGTCCAATTAGCTGGAGTATTTCACTTAACTACCAAAAGCTGCATTAACCTTTTCCCTCACCACGGTGGAGGTGTCAGCAGCACAGCAGCAGCTGCTGGAGGCCAAAGCTTTACTGCAGTTGCCACCAGAATATTATTAACACAGAACAAGGCCATTTCCCTGAAAAGCAAAGTTGAGATTAGTGCTTAAGGCTGGAGGATTTAGGGAGATTTACTTGTAACAGTAAGAGAGATCCCTGGAGGGAAGGTGCCTGAGAAGAGCAATCCAAAGAATTAGAGCGATTTAAGAATAATTTAAAAAAAATTCAGCCAAATTAAAAAAAAAACAACAAAACCACCCCCCCCCCCCAAAAAAAAACAACAACAAAACAAACCACACAAAAACCCACAAAACAAACAAACAGAAACTTATCCATGGCTCTCATCACCCTCTCTTGGCATGGTCCATGGCAGCTTGCCACTGCACTTTCCTGAAATGACCTTGGTTTGTACTCCTGACAATAGAACCAGTTTCCTGGTCTGGTGCAGACACACACAGGGATCAACAGGAACTGTTGACTCTGCAGTCTGCAGAAACGGGAAAAGGGAGAGAGAAAAACAAACAGCTTCTCAGTTAACACAAAAGCTGTCAACATCAGTCTTGGGAAGATGAGAAGATAAAATCCAAAGATGAAACAGTACCAGAGATTTATTTAAGGTCTTGGAAGGAGGTGCAGAAGCAGCTTGAAAATGATTCAGCACAAATACAAAGTTCAGAGAAATAACATCTACTTTCCTTTCTCTCCCACTCTTGATTTCATTTCTGCAACATTCGATTTCCTTTCAGCAAGCCTGCCCACTGTTGTTATGTGTGGTGCAAATATGTCACATGCTGTGTTTTAATGACACATTCCTGATAAAACCACATCACTCAGACACTGGTGAAGCTTGGGGCACATTATCTAAAGATGATTTTCTCTTCTCAGCTGTGTAATTGCAATAACTTTAAATGGTACTAGGCAGAAATAAACTGAACAGCTGCTCCAGATGGGCAGTGCTCCTTGGGCTGCTGCTTTGCTCCCTGCCATGGCTGTGCCCACCTGGGGCCCCGTGGTCCTGCTCAGTGTGACCACAGCAAGAAACAACTCTTGTGGCTGCTTTGGTAGAGCAGATTCCCAGGGGTCTGTGCTTCCCACACATACACTTCTTTATTTAGGGGAATCGAAACAAGAAAATGTCAGAGCTCGCTGGTGGCTTTTGAAACCACAATCGACTTATTTTCGCTAAGCCCTGCTGAGCAATTCTGTAATTAGCAGTGGCCCCACCATGTGCTGTTCCCGCCAAAATGGGCTGTGATTTACACATCAGTAACTCCCTCACGCACCAGTAAAACCCTGTGAGGATGTGGGACAGATCTGGAACTTGAGGCAATTTCCCTCTAAACAGCAGTGAGTCTCCCTGAATTACACCACTGCACTCAGATACATGGCCCTGACTGCAGCAAAGTGGAGGCAAGCACTTCATATACTTGGGCTCACCAAAGGCTGGTCTGTTAACCCATTTTGCACAATAAGTGTCCCCTTTTTATACCTTTTATCACCTTTTATCCTTCTGTACTACCTTGTATCCTTTATTTGTTATTACCCCGTTTTTATTACCTTTATCACTATTTTAAAATAAAACACAGAAAATAAATTAATGCTTTCAACTCTATCTCAATGATTTGTGCCCAGCTGCCCTGATAGGAAAGAGTCTCACCCACATATGCCCAAAAGAAGGGCCCATCTCCTTGTGTGGCTGCAGGGGCATAGAGACAAGCTGCCCTTAAATCTTATCTGCTTTCAGGGTGAGGAAGTGTTGCTGAGCAGGACAGGATTGAGGTTAATTTGGTTTTGGTCTCACTAGAGGAAGAGTAATTTAAATAATTTGCCCAAGTATTTGATCTGTCTCCAGATTCACAAAGAAGAACAAGCCACAGGTCATACCTGGCTCTGTCTAAACGTGCAAAATAAATGTTCAAAGTCACCCACACCTGCCAGCAGAGCAAGAGACCAGCATGACCTCATGGCTTGAGCTTGTGGGCACTTTGCCTGCACTGGGCACTGCTGAGCACTGAGTGGGGCAGGAGGGGCATGTGGGGGTCTCAGTAAGGCCCCAGCCCCCTGTGCTGACATTCTGGAGAGGCTTCCATGATTTTTGGAGCAGCTGTCAGACTGTGGCTGTGAGATGCAGCCCCAGGCATCACATGCTGCAGACCACCACGCCTCCTCCATGAGGGGTGACGCATCATGCAGACATCCTCCTGACCTGTTTACCTGCCTTGCCACCTCCTAAAACCCAACAAACTTGTTTTGAAGAAACAGTTTCTTATGTAACAGGAATGACTGTCAAAGGCCAGCTCTGCCTGAACAGGGCTGCCACTAACAGGCACATTCATACAGCTGAGGAGACCCCAGACACATCAGGTCAAGGAGATAAGTCCACATGCCATGTAGGTTATATACCAGCTGAGAGACAAAGGCAATACAGCCTCAAAAACACCAGAAACTTCTCTGTGGCCAACCTAAGCTGCTCTGACACCAGGCCACAGTCTGGCAGAGTGCATGGTGTGTACTGACAGAGCCAGTTTACTGCTTTGGGAAGGGCCTTGCAAAAGCCTCATCCAGCTACAGCTTTCACTTAGATATCTCTCCCTGAGAAATGCCCTGTCTGTGAGCTGGCTCCACTGCCCCTCCCACATGCCAGCCCTGCAGCACCACTGTGCCAGCTGCCTCCTGCCAGGCACCAAGGGGACTGAGGTTTCCCACACAGGGAGAGAAACCAGCCATGCTTCAAGTGTGCCATCATTCTGGGAAATAACAGGGAAAAGGCTATCTGCACTGAGCTGGTGAGTGATTCCCCTTTTAATGGAACTTCAAAGTCACCAGCATTTCTAGACACTTGACTTCAGAGGCATGTACCCCATAGAATGGAGCCTCTCAACATCCTGTTGTGGTCTGTATTACACTATGACATTTTAAGTTGTGTTTTGATGGGAGAGGTAGTAATTTACCAACTTTCAGCCACAAATCAGTTCTTTGTTATGTCTGACCCATCTGTGCTTTCTTTACATGAAGTTTTCATTTTCCCCTAAAAGCAGAAGTCCAAACCATGTG